CCACGAAATGTTCTCCGAACCCAACAATGTCGGGTCGGGCGAAAGGGGGGGATAGCAAGGGGGGGGTTGAGAATCAGCTCACATTAGCTGATTTTCCCGGCGCCTCCCGGCGCCGGAGGCTGTATCGATGGGCCGAGCCGAAACCAGCTGCATGCAGCAAATTTCGTACCCCCCCCTTTCCCTATCCCCCCCTTTCGCCCGACCCGACACTGTTCCAAGACAATGTTCTTAGAACATAAGCCCGATGTGCTAACGCAGGCCAGGCTCCGCCAGACATGTTCTGAGAAGATGTCGTGGAAACCGCAAGAGGTTCTCAAAACATTGTCTGGCAGGGCCAATAGGCGAGCCAGGACGCTTCGCCACTGCTTGCGTCGCTGTCGCCGCGCCGGTGTGAGGAGGAGGGAGGGCGGCGCCGCAGCGATCGGCGGTGGGCCCCGCCCCGGCGCCTCGGGCGGAACTGCAGTCGGCCCCGATGGGGCAGGACACGCGAGAGGAGGAGGAGGAGGAGGAGGAGGAGGAGGAGGAGGAGGAGGACGAGGAGGAGGCTGGAGGAGGAGGAGGAGGAAGAGGAGGAGGCTGGAGGAGGAGGAGGACGACGAGGAGGAAGAGGAGGAGGCTGGAGGAGGAGGAGGAGGAGAAGGAGGAGGAGGAGGAGAAGGAGAAGGAGAAGGAGAAGGAGGGATGCAGGAAGGCACGTGTCGCGAGACACAGGACACAAGGGTACCCTTGATGATCCGGGCCGACTGTAGCACTGAGGCCGGACCACCTCGCGAACGGCAGCTCGGAGCACAGAGTTGCGAGAAGGTTTCAAGCGAAACGGGCAGAACCACCTCTCGCGCGGCATCTCGGAGCTCAGAGCTTCGAGGATGTCTCAGGCGAAACGGGCCAGACCACTTCGCAAGCGGCATCTCAGAGTTCTGATTTCGGAGGATGTCTGACACGAAACGCCAAATCCTAGACAACTCGGAAACGAGAGTTGTGAGGATGGCTCAGGGCGGAAAAGGCCCTGACCACCAGATTGTGTTGAGGACGTCCGTCTCTGCTTAAACCTTCCCTGGCAAGAAGTAGCTTCTACCATCACAACAGAACCCTTGCAGCAAGCTGGTTGGGAAACCAGCGAGAACTCCTGGCCGAGAGGCGAGACTGGGAGCCGGACCACCTCGCAAACCGCAGTTCGGAGCCCGTAGTTGCGCGAATGTCTCTAGCGAAACCGGCAGAACCACTTCTCGCGTAGGCCAGCCGCTCGTCGTCGCATTGCCAGTCGTGCGCGCCCAGACATCTGCAGTCAGATGAAATCATGCTTGGCATCAACTCGAGCCGATAAAACAGAACTGGCACCAACGACACTGCGTCCGACCATGCTGGATTGCACCGCGCGCGACCAGACCACTCCAGGCAAGGCCATTACAACTTAGACCACGCAAGACACGAACGAGACACTGGCATGATCGCTGGATGGGCTGCTGCTGGAGATGCGCGACGTGCTCATAAGAAGTAGAAGCCCGCGGAGCGTGCCGTCTCGGCCACCTGGCCCTGTCGCTCGTGGCGTCAGACATTGGGCGCGGGGTGAGGAGCGCTTCGTCTCGCCCACCTGCACGCGCCGCAATGCACATCGGGCGCTGGCTGCTGCAAGCGCTGCTGCCGCAGATCGCGGCTAGCTCCCCGTCAGGCGCTGGATGACGCTCGAGTGGAGCCTGACCGCCGCGGCGCTCTGCAGCTCACGCAGCAGCTGCACGGCCAGGTCCCGCCTCTCCCAGGATATGCGCGCGATGCCTTCGAGCGCCTCGGCGATGAGCTCCGAGGGGAGCCCACCCTGCAGCTTCGCAATGTGGGCAGCGGGGGCGAAAGCCTCGTGCGCGCCGCGAAGACCGTAGGCTGCCCGGAGGAGCCCGGCGGCGTCGTCGGGCTGCTTCGCCGAGACGCAGCCGCGCAACAGGATCGTGTAGGTGCGCGCGTCGGGACGGTTCTTCTCTGCCACCGCGCGCCTGAGAACCTCCAGGGCGCGCGGCAACTGCCCGTGGCCCACGCAGGCGAACATCAAATTGTTGTAGACGTGGATATTCAAGCGGATGCCGTGCCTCTGGGAAACGGCCTGGGACAGCTCGAACGCGCTCTCAAGGCGCCGGGCGCGGTTGCAGAGCTTCACCAGTAACGACAGCGTGAAGTTGGTGGGCGTGACGCCGGTAGATTCCATCTCCTGAAAGATCCGCCGCCCCCTGTCGATTCATCGCAGGGGTGCCTGGCGTGCTAGACCTCTCGGTTTTAGTTATGGTTCTTTTTCCAAAAGAACTCCCCGTGGCGCTTCGGCCCGTCCCGCCGAGGTCCCGGGCGGATTGCCCAGGGCCGCAACGTCCACAACAAATCATAACAAATTGCCGTTTCGCTCGGGACATCCTCAACAAATCGCGAAGATGGCCCAAGATGGCCTGCAATATGCCTGCAAGACAACCAAGATGGCCTCCAAGACGGCTAAGATGGCCCCAAGATGCATCCAAGATGGCCCCAATCTGGTCTAGACGGCCCGAAAGGCCCGTAAGAGGCCTCCAAGACGGCCCTAGAGGCCTCCAAGAGTTCCTCCAGGAAGGCCCGACGAGACCAAAATCCTTGATTTGCCTTAGGTTTTTAAAGGATTTGGGCATTTGCGCCTTTTCGGCTTTCCGACGGCCCGTGACGGCCCCAGATGCCGCCAAGACGGCCCAAGACGGCCCAAGAGGTCGCCCAAAGATCGCCCAAGAGGCCTCCAAGATGGCCCTATGACGGCCCAAGAGGCCCCCAAGACGGCCCCAAGAGGGCGCCAAGACGGCCCAAGAGGCCTCGAAGACGCCAAAGATGGCCTCTAAGACGGCCCTGGAGCACCCCAAGAGGGCCCCAAAGGCCCCCGAAACGGCTTCCGACGGCGTCAGACGGGCCAGGAGCCCCCCAAGATGGCCGAAGGTGGCTCGCAGCTGGCCCAAGACGGCCCAAGAGGACTCCAAGAGGGCCTCCAGGAAGGCCAGAAAAGGCAAAAAAGAGTGATTGTCCTGAGGTTGTTGAAGGATTTTGACATCTGCTTCGTTTCGGCCTTCCGACGGCCCGATGCGGCCCAAGAGCTCCCAAAGATCGCCCAAGGATCGCCCAAGAGGCCTCCAAGATGGCCCCAGAACGGCCCAAGAGGCGCCCAAGACGGCCCCAAGAGGCCCACAAGACGGCCCAAGAGGCCTCCAAGACGCTCGAGATGGCCTCCAAGACGACCCATGAGCCCTCCAAGACGTCCTCCAAGAAGGCCCGGAAGAGTCAAAATGGCCTCCAGGCGGCCAAGATGACCTTCAAGATGCCCACGTGTTCCCCGAAGGCTTTCCAAACCGATTCGGGGAACACATGGTCCGATAGCTTGGCAGGTCTGGCCTCAACGTTCGGCCACATAGGCGCTTCCATAAAGGCAGGGGGCGGCGGTGATTCGCCGTAGGCGTCTTCGATCTCCAAGCCCTTGTCGAAGCTGCCATTACGCGCGTAGCCGTCCAGCACCGTGTTATAGGCGATCTCGTCAGGGCTGAGAGAAGCGCTCTTCTTCATGTCTTTCAACAGCGCCATCGCCTGATCCACCTTGTTCTCCTGGACGTAGCCCTTGATGATGGCACCGTAGGTGACCACGTTCGGCTTGATACCCTGGCGGTCCATGTGCTGAAGCAGCTCGGGTACCCTGGTCATCTCGTTGCAGCGGGCGCAAGCGTCCACCAGTGTGTTGTACGTGACGATCGAGCACTTGTGCTCTCCGTCCAGCACTTCTTGGTACACCTCCCACATGCGATCAAAGTTCTTCTGGTGCGAGAACCCCTTCAGTACCGAACAATATATTATGGCGTTTAGCAGCGGCCGGGCCTCATCGTCGTTGGCAGCCTCCTGAATCATCTTGTAGCCAACCTCGGGGCCCGCGTTGCTCACCACTGCCTCGACCATGCAGCCCAGGGTGATGCTCGTGGGCAGGACGCGACGGGCGCGCATCTCGCGCCAGGTTTCCCAGACGCCCTCGATGTCCCCGATGAAGCCGTAAGCGCGGATGATGCTGCCGAAGGCGGGCGCACCCTTGATGGTGACACGCTTGGAGGTGCGGTGCGACTGCAGCTGTCGCCTCAAGAACTCCACCTGGTTGGAGCGGATGCCCGCCTCGCAGGCCGAGCTTAGCAGCACCTCATCCATGTCGCTCTGCTCCAGGGAATCCAGCAAGCTGGAAATGCGCTGGACGTCAGCAGTCGTGCAGTTCTTCTGAACCGTTTTCAACAAGATAGAGCAAGTGACTGCATTGGGCTTCAGCCCGCACTCGAGCATCTCGTCGATGATGGCCCATGGGAGTCCGCCCGTACTTCCCACGGCGGCGTCCAGAAACTCGTTGTAGGTCACAACGTTGGGCTCCAAGCCCATGGCCCGCATCTCAGCCAAGGCGGTGCGGGCCTTCGACACGCTGCCGTTGTGGAGGTGCGCCTTGATAATCGTGTTTGAAGTAATTATGTCGGCGACCCCAGCCTTGAGAGCCTCCGCCGCCAGACGCTGTGCGGTCTTCATGTCTTTGACCCCCACGAGTGCGTCGATCACCGCGTTGTACAGGCAACCTGGCTTCGTGACGCAAGACTCAAGGACGCCGAGCATGTCCTCCAATCGGCCATCGGTGCCCAGCCGCTTCAGAATCACCACGCGGGTGGCGGTGTCGATTTCCAGGCCCTTCGCGCAGGCCTCCTGGAACCAGGTCAGTACTTCTCCGCTGGCGGCTCCCCGCACGAGCGCCGCGTACCCCGTGGCCGTGATCTGCGTGCTGGTGCTGCGGCTCATTTGCACGGCGGCTTCGAGTCCGGCTTTGTGGCCCTGGCGCGTGCATTCCACCAGAATCACCTCGAGGGACCACGAGTTGAACGCCCTGCGGGCGTGGAGCTCCTCGAGCAGCAACGGGACCGAGCACTGCGAGATCGCCCGCACCGAGAGTTGCTGGAGCGCGCCCGTGATCGCGAAGGTTACCAGATCGCCCGCGCCTTGGCGAACTTCTGGGATAGCCGCAAGGTGGCGCACAGCGTCCTTCAAGTCCGGCGCGGCGAGCGCTGCCTGCAGCATGGGCTTCACCTTCGGCGCAGCGCGGCTGGCCGCATCAGCATCCTTGCCTGTCTTGGGCGCGGCCTCGACCTGCTTGAGATGCTTGCCCTTGCGCACCTGGGGATGCGTGGGCTGCTTCTTGAAAAGAAATGCGTGGGCCAAGACAGCGGCGATGAACACCGCAATCTCGATCTGAGCGCCCACGATGGTCTGAGCAATTGCCTCGAAGACCGTGGTGGTCGTCATTCTTCTTTCGTCAAGATGTGCACTTGAAAAGCTGATGGGGGGATATCGTTGAAAGCACGTGAGTCAGTCAGATAATACTGTTCGCAGAAAGAGCTTGGACACTGCAAGCTCGAGCCGAACAAGACTGATTAGGCAGAGGCGGGGTTATATTTGCATCTGGTCTGTTTTCCTAATTCGCCGCACGCTCGCTACACCAGTGAACGCCGCTCTGTTCCGTGGCTGGTATGTCGGCCCCCTTTTTTCTTCTCTTGCTCTGGCTCCACGGTCTTAGCCTTCCGAAAGAGAGTAAGGCCAAACAGAAGACGTCTGTGATGATGAGCGTGGGTCCCTTCTCTCAGTGCGGTGGCGGATATACGCGGCGCGCGCAACTGGATTTGTGTGTTCCCACCCCCTCCCCTAAGACGAACCCAGAACCTGTACAACATAGGACCTGGACACATCGGGGATCTCTGAGGTCTGGCGGCTCGGGGGATGTATCGGGCGCCGCGGCCGTTCCAGAGAGCTCCAGAACGCTCTTGAGAGCGTTACGGATTGCGCTGGAACGATTTGTTCTGGTCCTAGCCCCGCCCGATCTCTCCTTTCTGCCCCTCACCACCCGCCTCCTCGTGCAGCTCCGCCCTGTCCTCGTCCTGGGCCTTTCTGTCGATGGCCGCGGGGGGCCGAAACGGGCCTCCAGAAGCAGCAGAAAGCTGAGAGTAGCTCGGAGAACTGGGGCAACTCGACTTCGAACCGTGGCGCTGCGGAGCCTTCGCTCACGGCACAGAGCCCTTGCCGAGCGGGCGCGACGCTGGGAGGCGGTGCTCGGTCAGTCTCCTCCAGATGCCCCAGGAGACCCCTCGAGGTCCTCAGAAGCCCAAGAAGGCCCAGAGGCCCTAAGATTGTCATCTCCTTTTAGCGCGTCAATCTTAGGGAAAGGGATACGTTCGAGGCTGGTGAGATACAGCGTCGCGAGGACAATAACAGTGCAGCATCCTGAGGAACTCACGGCCAGAGCCTACAGCTCCTCTTCCTGCGGCAGCGGTCGAGCCGGATCGATCCGCGAGGGCCCCCTGCGCCGGAGCGGGACGCGAAAGTGCGGCACCCCGGATCCGAGGAGACCTCGATCCCTCAACGGGGGCGCGCAAGAGGGGGGTGTCCAAGAGGGGCGTGTGCAAATCATGGCCCGAGGCACGTGCGCGGGCGAGGGGGGGACCAGAGGACGTACTGAAACAAGACGCGGCGCAATGACATCGGGGGAGATCTCATGGTCTCGGCCATGATATCCCCCTTTCATCATCACCCCCCTCGCGGCCGCATCAGCCTCTGGCCCTAAAAGTCCAGACCCATTCCCAGGAATCTTTGTCCGTCCAGTGCTCGTGTTTGATGGCCATGCTTTCAGCATCCAATCCCAGAGGTCCCGACCCATTCCCGGGAATATGTTTCCGTCCTGGGCTCATTGTTGATGGCCCCAGGGCCCAACAACAGGCCCCAAAGGCCGAAATCGAGGGAACATGCCAGATTGAGCATATCATGTCACCGCCAGAGATCAGGAATCCATCCTCGACGACGACAGCAAACGACAAAGACGTCGACGACAGACCTAAAGCTCCAACGTCTCGGTGTTTTCAATGCGGGGTACTCCGAAGACTCGACCCCTTCCCTAGGACGGGTTTGCCGTCCCGAGTCGCTTAGGACGGCCATAGAGCCTGGCGTGGGCCCCGACAGGCCGAAAACGACGAAGACCTTTCAAACCACGACTGGCTGTCGTGGACGAGCAGCTGCAGAAAAAATAGAACAGCCCAGGCCGGGGAAAAGGAGGAGGAGGAAAGGGAGGAGGAGGAGGAGGAGGAGGAGGAGGAGGAGGAGGAGGAGGAGGAGGAGGAGGAGGAGGAGGAGGAGGAGGAGGAGGAGGAGGAGGAGGAGGAGGAGGAGGGAGGAGGAGGAGGAGGAGGAGGAGGAGGAGGAGGAGGAGGAGGAGGAGGAGGAGGAGGAGGAGGAGGAGGAGGAGGAGGAGGAGGAGGAGGAGGAGGAGGAGGAGGGGGAGGAACAGGAGGAGGAGGAAGAGAGGAGGAGGAGCAGGAGGAGGAGGAGGAGGAGGAGGAGGAGGGAAGGAAGAAGAGAAGGAGGAGGAGGAGGAGGGAGGAGGAGCAGGAGGAGGAGGAGGAGGAGGAGGAAGGAGGAGGAGGAAAGGAAGAATAGGAGGAGGAGGAGGAGGAGGAGGAGGAGGAGGAGGAGGCCCGGGGCCGGCGACGGCAGAGGCGACCGCGACGGCGCATGCAGGCGCCGCGGGCCGCCGCGGCCTGCTCGCCGCGGACGGCGTCGGGGGGCCGAAGTCCGGCCGCGGCGCCGAGGCCGCGGGGGGGCGCCGCGCCACGAGGCGCGGGCGGCCGGGCACCTCTGCGGCGGCTCTCTTCGGCGGGCTCTTGGGGCACTGTCTGTCCTTTAGCGGGCCCTGGGAACGACAGGGCCGTTTTGTTACCGGTTCCGATCTGCCGTTTTTGTTGCTGGTTCCGACGTCGTTTTTGCTTACCGGTTCCGTCGCCGTTGTTTGACCGGTTCTGGCTCCAGTTCCGATCCTGGAGCCGTTTTTGTTGCCGTTTCCGGTCGCCGTTTTTTTGCCGTTTCCATGTTCAAGGGACATGTTTTTGGAAACGGTGAAAAAACGGCCCTGCCGTTTCCGGGGCCCACAAAGTGCAAGGGTGGTCTGCGCAGGACGAGCTTTGAAACGAAAGGGGCTGCAAGAAACCACACTTGTGCTTCGATGCCGAGACAGTCGGCCTTTGCATGGCGCATCTGCGGAAGCTTCTCGGCGGGCCGTGGAAGTCTTGCCCCTGTGCCAAGGAAGTCCAGGCCCAGACCCCCGACGAGGCGTGTTTTCTCGACCATCCTGTGGTGTTGGGTCCTCGTTCTGAAGAGACCGCGCCTCGCATCACTCACCTCACCTCGCCTCCCTCCTCCTCCCTCCTTCCCTCCCTGCCTCTGCCCTCTGGACGACCATTTCCTCGCACCCCTCACACGTTTCGTGGCCCCATAGGGGAGCTCCACCGAAGGCCCCAATGGCTGCGTTCGCATGCGGTTCCTCGCCCACTTCGACACACGCCTCACACGCTCTGTGGCCGCATAGGGGAGCTCCACCGAAGGCCCCAATGGCTGCGTTCGCATGCGGTTCCTCGCTCACTTCGGCACACTCCTCACACGTTTCGTGGCCCATAGGGGAGCTCCACCGAAGGCCCCGGTGGCTGCGTTCGCATGCGGTTCCCCACCCACTTCGGCACACGCCTCACACGCTTCGTGGCCCCATATGGAGCTCCACCGAATGCCCAAATGGCTGCGTTCGTATGCGATTCCCCACCTACTTCGGCACACCCCTCACACCCTGCACACGTTTCGTGGCCCCATATGGGGGGGCTCCACCGTGGGCTCCGGCGAATATGTTCGCATGAGCTTCCTGCTCAGATTGGCACAGCCTTCGTATGTTTCGTGGCCCCACACGGAGCTCAACCGAAGGCCTCACCGGCTGCGTTTGCATCCCGTTCCCTGTCAATTTCGGCGCACTCCTTACACGCTTCGTGGCCACATGAGGAGCTCCACGAAGGCCCTGGTGGCAGGGTTCGCATGTCGGCACATGCCTGACACGCTTCGTGGCCTCATAGAAAGCTCCACCGAAGGCCTCAATGCCAGGATTCGCAGGCGTTTCCCCCGCTCATTTCGACACACCTCTCAAACAGTATATGGCCCCACAGGGAGCTCCGCCTCAAGCCTTAGCGTCGACGTTCACATGCGTCTCCCCTGCCCATGACTGCGCCCTCTCACACGTTTCGTGGCCCCATAGGGAGCTCCGGGTAAGGCTCCACTGGAGCCGTTTGCATGCGTCTCCCCCGACCACCACGGCGCACCTCTCACGCGGCGGTTCGTGGCCCCATAGGGGAGCTCCACCGAAGGCACAAAATGGCGACGTTTGCATGCGTCTTCACCAACCCATTTCGGCACACCCCTCACACGTTTCATAGCCCTCGTCCGCATGTCCTGTGCCCCATCCTTCCCGCGGCGCGCTACCTACGAGGAGATGGTCATACCCTGCGTGATTCGCAGCTGCGCGCGGGTGGGTCCTTCGTCGGACTGACTCTTGAGTCCGTGTGTCTTTCTTCGGTTTGGGCCTCTGGGGCCCGTTATGAAGCCCTAGGACCGTCAAGCTCGAATCCGGGCCCCAAAGCTGCCCCGGGGAAGGGGTCGGGACCTCCGGGGCCGCGCATGAAAAACCATCTCGGCGGATGCCACGGGTAGCTTCAGCAGGTTTCAGAAGTCTTTGCGAGGCGGAGATGAAACCAGATCTCCCGCCTGGGGAACTGACGTCCTGGGGTTCCAGCAGCCAGTGGATGTGGATATATTTTGTTCGTCCCCGGGGGCACGAATAAACCCAGATCCACAGCCTGCCGAGGTCCCCGAAGATCGATCTCCCAGGCAGGCGTTATGGACGCCAGGGAACCCCAGAGCTCCCCGCGTCGCGAGCAGCAGCACGACGGACCGGCTTCTCTTGCCGTCTCTGGCCTCCAGGGGCCCCCACTGAGCATCGTTTAACCGATGCCTACCCTGACGAGCGTGGCCTGAGCCCCGCTAGCCGATTTACCCCCCTAAATGGGGATGTAGGCTGTTCCCTTCGAGATTCGAAGGGCATATCCCCAACTGGGGTTGTGGGATGGTGGGGATCGGGATGAGGACGGAGTTGGGGATAGGGATCGGTTGAATGATACTGCCTCACCGGGACCCGGGGCCGTCAAAGAAGGACTCGGGATGGGGAAAGCCGGTCCCAGAGCAAAAGGTCCAGGGCTCGGGGGGCCCACGTGAGCGACGAAACGAAGCGAGCCTTGCGCGAGATGGCATGGCGACCTTGCGCGGTGACTTTCGCGGGGCGCCAGCGAGGCACGCCACCTTGGAAGCGGGGGCGCTCACGCGCGACCTGACGCGGGCAGCAAGGAGATCGCATCGCAGGTCCGCGCCTGCGCAGTCGTCGGCGCAGTCGT